TAGATGGGGAGGGGGCTGGGGGCAAATTAGGCAGGCCCATCAGGACCGGATTAAAAACTTGGGGTGGGGGCTTAGGGCAGATTAAGTAGGCCCATCAGAACTGAACTTCAAAATAAGTCAAGCACAGTTGTACACTATTTATTAACTACAGTTCGAACAATATACAAACACATACGATGGGTAGATGGTATACAAAATATTAAAATTTATAATAAATATATAAAGTAAGGACAACAAATTCTATTCGTTAAATGGCCGAGCACATATTTATGAAAGAACGAGTCTTAAGAACACGTTCACGAAAACTTATGCACTTAGAGGTTTATCTGAAACGATTAAAATCGTTGTTGTCATAGTGACACATTCGCAAACATGTTTTTCAATAAAACATGCATTTTTTTTTTATTTCTCTTAGTTGGTGGGCCCTTTCGAGCCGTGAGGCACCCCATTTACCGGCCCTCGGTACTGGATCTCTGCTTAAATGTGTTTGTGTCTCTAGCCGTTCTAAAAATATTAAATTTACTAAAAAAAAGAAAGACATTAATAAATAAATTAAAAACAAATTCTAAAGTCTTTCACGCGAGTTAAACACTTGTTCTAAACTCAATTTAACATTCTAATGTTACAAGTACCTTCCATCTTTTATCTCACAAACTGGGTTTCTTACGGTGATATTTAGACAAAAGTCACAGTCTACGAGGTCAGCCACTTGTTCTTACAAGAGGCTGAAGCTCGATCCCAGAGTCATGGCTGTGTGAATGGGTAGGAGGTTGTTAACCCATACAGGTTAACGCCAGGAAAGACAGAAGTTTCTTGCCCTAATTCTCAAGCTGTTGATACAGATTCTTTTCACTATAGTTCGTTATCTAATTAGAGCTGTAGGTTACTTTCAGGGCAAGCCCTCCATTTTCTTGTTGTGGAAAGAAAGATATTAACTATGCAAGATCTCTTAATCTGTGTTTCCATGTTTGTCACAGAGCATAACACTTGTAATTCGAGTACATCGTAACTGTACAAACAAAGACGTTGGAATACCACGTACCTGTTATTGCTATAGTAACACTGAAGAATAACTTAGCGTCAACGAAAACATTCGTAAACAAAAAGCAAAATAAAAATAAGTTATTCCTACGACACAAAAAAAAAATTAATTTAAATCATTCATGATATCAAAGGGCATGTAAGGCCTAAAATAACAAATAAAACTTTGTTTTTACACCTAAGAATATATACCCCCTTCTTTTTTCTTTTGCAGACAACTTGAAAGTACTGTCACCTTTTATTACCGGAGCCAGAAACTATTTTTTCCCTAAATTAAGAATTTTGTAATATGGCTGAAATTTGCTTTTTTTCTTTCTTCCTCAACATCTCTCTCTCTCTCTCGCTTTTGGATTGATGCTTTTTTACGACTTAAAATTTACTATAGATTAATTAAAACAATTTATTATAGCTTTAAACTGTTTGTCGAAAATATACATGACGCTAAAATTTAAAAGAACAACGATGCAAATTAAAAAAAAAGTTCAACGTGAACCGTGGCGGTAACGTGAGTAACCAGCAATCATGTTAACAGCCTAGTTCCAGGAATTTTGTTTGTTAACACGAAAAAATGAATTCACGGCTAATAATTATATCAATTATATTAGCTTTAAAACAGAAACTCGTGAACTAGGGTTAACTTGTGTCGTTTGCTCTTCCTATCTATTTCAGGGTTACTTCACGACAAGCAGTACATTAAAAGTTGACACTCAAAATCTATAATATTTAATTTCATTTCTTTAGTTTAATATATATATATACACTTATTTATCAACTTATACAGAATAATGAACCGTGACCTTTGACCTAACCTTCGGATATTGTAATACTTAGCATTATTCAGAAACTGTGAAAACTACACACTGTTGAAAACTGTCCAGATAGTATAACAAGGTTACGAACATTCCAGCATTTTGGCTAGACGAAATACAAACCTTTTTTTATTTCAAGAGGACTAAGCTATAATAGTTAGTCTGTATGTTGCAGTGAGACTTTTCAAATGTTACAAATCTCTCTCTTTTTCTTTTTACACAGAAGATCGGATATATTGTGTCAGGACTGTAAATCCAGGAGTACATGGTTCGTGTCTCGTTTCCACAAATAGTCCACTTTTGGACCGTGGGTGTACTATAGTAAGTTTGTTTGTTTGTTTTGAATTTCGCGCAAAGCTACACCAGGGCTAACTGCGCTAGCCGTCCCTAATTTAGCAGTGTAAGACTAGAGGGAAGGCAGCTAGTCATCACCACCCACCGCCAACTCTTGGGCTACTCTTTTACCAACGAATAGTGGGATTGACCGTCGCATAATAACGCCCCCACGGCTGAAAGGGCGAGCATGTTTGGTGGGATGGGGATGCGAACCCGCGACCCGCAGATTGCGAGTCGAGCGTCCTAACCACCTGGCCATGCCGGGCACTATAGTAAGAGTGACAGTTAAATCCCACTATTTGGTCAGCTAAGAGGTTAGCGGCAGGTGCTGCTGACTATTTGCCTTCCCTATATAAAATTAGGGATGGTTATGTCCAGATGTCTCTTTGTGTAGCTTTGCGTGAAAGTTGTAAAACAATCTCTTCCAGAATAACGAGTGAAATCACAAGTCGTTCTGTAGGCCTCACTAAACTAAACAAATTCTATCGAACTCGAACTTCTGTAATCTTCTGTAATTTCTGTTTCTGTTATTTACACAAATATAACTAATCACATCTATTCTATTATTCCTGGAGAAAGCGCTACGTTTTTGTTTTTTTTTCAATGCGATTTACCATTTTTTTTATCGTATGCTTCAATCACTGGCGAGTGTGCTCCAAAAACGAACCATTTTTTGTCACTATATATTTTCTAGCTGTTTTTAACATCATAATGTGATTTTTTTATGTAAGAAAATAATTACAATATATATATATATATTACAATGATATCCACTATGCTAAATACAATAAATACCACAGACTAGAGATACAGAGTAATAAAACTAAACCATATTGGTGACACTGAATTCTAAAATGTGACACTTACTAAAAAGTAAAATATTTTCCTGTCGACATGAAATTTCAAATAACCAAAATTTCTATTAACAACCTGGAGTAATCTAATCTGGAAAGAATGAGACGTTTTCATAGAGAAGAGAAAATGCTGATGAGTCAAGATTCGGATCGGAGATCATGCTATTTTCGGTCATCCCAAATCCGTTTTCTCTTACAAGATCTGTTTAAGTGGTTCTTTTAAGAATTCTGGGAAACGACGTGGCAATCCATGGGTTCTTACCAGTTGTTTGGGAACACTCCAACAATCTGACATTACTGAAAGATGTAAACATTAAATAATTATTTCACAGATGCCGTTGGTGACGTGTTTTGGAGGGCAGCTGGTCTGGCTGAATTCATCAGTTACCGAATGCTAATCTTAACAGCTGCATTACCGTGTCCCACTGGCCTAGTGGTACAGACCTGTTTTTATTTAAATCTCAAAGCTACGATGTGTTTTCGTGTCATTACTACAAACAAATTAGTTTGCAATGTAACACATACATATAGAGGTGCTTGGCGTGGGGGTTAAATTTTACATTATTTTTTTAGCACTTTTGTTTCCTTATAATAACATTCAGTTTAACTATAAAGTGATCCCTTTAATAGTGTTTTCTTATAGCAAAGCCACATCGGGCTATCTGCGGTTTCCATCAAGGGGAATCGAACCCCTGATTTTAGCATTGTAAATTCGAAGACTTACCGCTGTCCCACCGGGGGACTCGTGTTTTCGTAACCACACACACAAAACAACAACAACATTTATTAGAAAGTATGAAGAATATTGTTTTAAAATGGTAGACATTAAGTTACTCCCAACAGCGAAAGGCTTATTTATTCCTGATGGCAGAAGTGTCTAAAAATTGCATGCTTTTTGGAGAAGAAAAAAAAGAAGAGGAAAGGAAAACTTTTTGAATAAATCTGTAATTAATCTTTTAAAAAAAAAAAGCAATGCAGATGGTACAAAATTTAAAGTTTTGTAACAACGTACGTCACTGGTTAATATCTTGGACTACATCACGTATAGATTCGCCTTTCGGCTATCAGTGTTATTGTAAGGTTGGCGTAATTACTGACCTTGATGTTACTCGAGTTCATGCAACCCTTGTTAAGTATCCCAAACATATAAAAACGGTGAGGGCGTAACACAAGTATACTGTATAGTTACATTTTACAATACGTAGATTGCCTGTGGTCTAATCACTACTGACTGAAAGACGCCCATCAAACCACGTGTAATATTTTTTTTTTATTCCAAGACATCTCACATTTGGACTAGAAACAAAGTATACTTCGATACTATTATAGAAGGTCACTAATCTAACCAGGAGTAAATAGAACTTGGAATACGTCCTAAAGTCAAGATCAAATCACAGCTGGTATTAACAACGTGTCACTTTAACACCATTGCATATCATACGATATATATCTATATAAACCACTGTAAACATAACTTAAATATAATAAACGTGTTCCTCAAACGTTTATTTTATTATTGTAAAAATAATTTGTATCAAAACCGTTAAACTTGGATTTTGTTTGTTTGAAGTTAGGCACAGAGCTACACAATGGGCTATCTGTGCTCTGCCCACCACGGGTATCGAAATCCGGTTTCAAGAGTTGTAAGTCCGCAGACATGCCGCTGTGCCAGTGGGGAACAATTGAATTTGGAAAACACTCCTTGATTTTTACGTTTTGACCAATGATTGACACAATTTATTCATTATTCTGATGATTTTCAAACTTCCACTGTTGACCTAATTACAACTTCTGGAATAAACCTCCATCCACAATAACCTATAGACCTTTTTCCAGATAACCAAGAAGTCATTCAGATTTACCACTATTACTAGAAAGCGGCCAAATATTACCAAGTTCAAAGACCCACAAATATTTACGAGATAAGCTGACCTATCTATGCCCCTTTTGGAGTACTGACCTGTAGGCTTTCACGTTCTAGCTGCAACCGTGTGTTGACCGACCTCAAGTCCTTATTCGCCTTCTCAGCTTGTACCAGTTGAGCCTCCAGTTCGCTTTCTAGCTCTCGACTTCCTTCTTGAAACTCCTGCAGCTCCACCTGGCTGTCTTTCCACCTGTGACGTCAATGCAATGTTATTATAGATTCTCCTAATTTTACTAAACTGAATGTAGTTAGCAGACAAAACTGTTTAAACATATATAAGGTGGTGTTCTTACTAGAAGTTGCTAAGACGATTATCCCTTTAGCGCATTTGAGAAGAACTGGGTTCGAGCCCATTAGCGAAGCATGCAACATCCAAAAGTTAGATTATCACAAGAACTGGCGCTCAATTCGTTGTCCCAAGTAAGGGACCGATGATAAGACCCGAGAACAAGACATGTTTGTGAAATGGGCGGGTATTGGTAGATTGTTTTTGTTTGTAGAATTTCGTACAAAGCTACCCGTTTCTAATTTTGAAGTGATAAACTTGAGTGAAGGCAGCTATTCAACACCACCTACTAATAACTCGTGGACTACTCTAATCGAATAACAGAATTTCACCGTCACTAACTTAAGGCACCCACGTCCCCAAAGTGCAGAGTGAGATTTTTTTTTGGGGGGGGGGGCATGACAGGATGCAAACCACGGAACCTTGGATCCACAGTTCGTCACGTTAACCACACGCGACGAGATTCCGTCGTGGTAATCGTCCTGTTACTGTAAAAAAATATATATACAAAAATCACGCTCCTGACAGGAGTGACAGTGGAATCCCACTATTCGTCCCGTATAGTCAGGTATTCTGAATTATTAAAAAAACAACATAAAAAACTGCCTTACCAACAGTTGTTACACTGCATGCGAGAATAACCGGGTTCGAATCCATTCGCAAGACATGCAAAACTTAAATCACCACAACTACCTACACACACATGCTGGAACAAACTAACTTTTTTCGCGCATCTTCGAAAAGTTAATTCAAAAAACTAAAACATTCACGATAAAATAGGACGTGATATAAAAACAAAACTAGCTTTGTAAAAATGTTTTCACGTGCTCTTAAAATGTGTAGTAAATGAAACTGAACGAAAAAAATGTTTTCACGTGCTCTTAAAATGTGTAGTAAATGAAACTGAACGAAAAAATGTTTTCACGTGCTCTTAAAATGTGTAGTAAATGAAACTGAACGAAAAAATGTTTTCACGTGCTCTTAAAATGTGTAGTAAATGAAACTGAACGAGAAAATGTTTTCACGTCCTCTTAAAATGTGTAGTAAATGAAACTGAACGAGAATTAGAATTTTTTTAAAAAGTCTCAGCAGACTTCCAAAATGTATTTAGCAAATATAGAAGCTCTCCTTTGATTATTAGTATCTGGAGTACTCGACAAGTTATGAAAAACTTATTGTGGGCGGAAGATACCGTCAGGGACCGGCACGCTGCTTCCATAAACTGTCGCGGACCATTAAAACGAAAAAAAAAAACGTTACGATTTACATATTAATATTCGGTTAGTTTGTTTTCGCGAAATCCCACGAACAGGTAAGGTGGTTGTGACAGCCCGGTGGTTGAGAAACTTGTCTGGATAAACGTAAGATGGTTGTCACAGCCCGGCGGTTGAGAAACACTTGTCTAGATGAACGTAAGATGATTGTGATAGCCCGGTGGTTGAGAAACACTTGTCTAGATTAACGAAAGATGGTTGTGACAGCCCGGTGGTTGAGAAACACTTGTCCAGATTAACGAAAGATGGTTGAGAAACACTTGTCTAGATTAACGAAAGATGGTTGTGACAGCCCGGTGGTTGAGAAACACTTGTCCAGATAAATATAAGATGGTTGTGACAGCCCGGTGGTTGAGAAACACTTGTCTAGATAAACGTAAGATGGTTGTGACAGCCCGGTGGTTGAGAAACACTTGTCTAGATAAACGTTAGATGGTTGTGA